AAAAAAAAAAAAAAAAAACAATGGCTAAGATTCAAGATTAGGTGCCAGAGCAGAGAAGCTGTGACCTGGGCAGCCAGTGGGGGAGTGGGGGTGGCCAGAGTAATTTCCAATGACAGAACATGAGGGGCTAGGCTACCTCGGGCACTCACACACCTGGCCCTGTCCTGTGCTACTTCACTGAAGCTCCTCAGTTGACCCTGATGGCAACCTTCTGGAAGAGCCAGATGGCACACAGGTCACGTGGTCAGCTGTTCGTGGTGGCCTTAGCTTCCCTCGCACCCTGGCTCTTCCCCCAGCCCTCATCTGGAGCCCTCTGCTTTGCTTCAGACTAAAGCTGCTCGCAAGCAGAGGCCCCCAGGTAGAAAGTTCCAGCACTCCCTCTTTTAAAGCATCTTTGGGCTGCCAGGCCTGGGCAGCAGGACGGTCTGCCAGGAGACACCGTCTGCCCTTGCTGAAAGGCTTCCTCTCCCCTGCTCTGTGCCCAGCTGGGGCTGGACCGGGACCAGATCCCGCTACTGTTCTGGAGGCCCACAGGGTCTGGGGGCGGGGGGGCTGCAGGACTGGGGAGGTGGCAGGCAGCTGGCGAGGAGGGGCGGCCTCCGAGCTGCCGGAGCCCCGCGCCCACCTGCCTTGCCCACTGAGCAGGTGCTGGCAGCCTACCCCACCAAGCTGGACAAGCTGCACAGCCTTGTAGTCAGCTACTGCTCGGAGCTGTCGGACACAGCGGCCGTGGCCCAGGACGCCATGACCATCACCGACGAGGTCAAGGTGAGCTCGGGCCCAGGGCTGGTGGCATCCGCCCAGCTCGCTCAGACTCCGGGCCCAGGCCCGCCTGGAGGAAGCCAGCCGTGGGCCCCACCCTGCTGTGCTCACCTGGGGCCTGCAGCCTGAGGTCACGAGGGCGGTCGCAGACACTCACTCAGTTGTGCCAGGGCCCCTGCCAGGCTCAGGGAGACGGCAGGGACTGAGGTAGACTCGCCCCACTCCTGAGGCGGGTGATGAGGCTGTGGGCAGCTGTCACCCAGTGGCCCATGGGGAAATAGGCCAGCATGGCAGACAGAATGCGAGGTGCCGCAGGGCCTCTGGGTCCTGACCTGCTCAAGAGTTGCTGATCAAGTCCCACCCAAGCGAAGGCTTTGCAAGGCGGCAACGCTCGAGGAATGGCCAGCAAAGGTCAGGGGTGGCCAGAGCTGCAGAGGAGGATGGTGAGCAAAGGAAAGGCGTCAGGCCAGACAGGGCCAGCAGGGGACACAAGGCTGGAGCAGGGAGGGCTGAGGCAGGCCTGTGGTGCCCCTCTGCAGGCCCTGGAGGAGGCTGGGGACTGGATCTGCTTTGCGCCTCACAAAGGCTGTGCTCTGACTACAGGGGCTGGAAGGTGCCTGGGCAGAGAAGCCGTCGCCTAGGCAGGCCGGTGGGGGGTGGGGGTGGCCAGAGTAGATGGAGCCGGAAGTTTGCAAGGGGTAACCCTGTGAGCTCTGCAGCTGGATCAGAGAGGGCGAGAGCAGCATCCGGGATTCTGCAGAGCAGACGGGTGGGCTCCACCACCCAGGCAGGATGCGCCACAGAGGCCAGGCCGGAGGGGTGACACTTCATCTTCAGATACATGGCGTCCACTTTAGCGGTTTCTGAGTGGAGCTGGCCAGGAGGTGGCTGGGGACAGGGACCTGGTGTGTGTGAGCCATGGAGGCAGAGGACCGGCGAAGGCTTAGGCTGAGCCGTTTAGATAGGTGGGCACAGCCAGCAGCCTAGAATGACACCCCAAGATTTGGCAGGGCGAGGACTGAACACCGATACATCACCACCAAGGCGAGGGGAGGTCATGGTGAGACAGCCCTGCCCCCATGTCCCCAGAGGAGCATGAGGCGCGGGGAGGCCACCTTCATTGAGGAGCGCAGGGCGCGGGAAAACAGGCTCAGCCAGCAGAGGAAGCTCATCGACAAAATCCACACCAAGGAGGCCAGCGAGAGATACCGCAGGGTGAGCCCCAGCCAGGGCCTGCAGGCGTGGACCCCCACTGCCCCACCCCTCCCAGCCCCCAGGGTGAGTCCCAGGCAGACACTGCAGGTGTGGCACCCCCAGCAGGGGTTGTACTCACCCACTTCCCTCTCCTCCTCCTGTTAGGGCCGGACCGACATGGACTTCCCCTCCAACCTGATGAGTATTGAGACCCTGAAAGGTGGGCGCTCAGGTGCCCCCACAGTCTTGGGCAATCAGGACACAGGAGCCCTGCCACTCCCTGACTGCCCCCGCAAGCCGAGCGGCGCCAACTGCACC